CCATACTCTGAATTCAAACAGCTAAAGTCATATGAACATAAACTGTCTGATCAACATTGCTATATACGGCCGTAGCCCCTCAGTGCACAAAGTGGAAATATCACATTGATCCTCATACACGGCTATAGCCCCTTAGTGAATAAGAGTCAAATACACGAGTCTAGTACACGGTCGTAGCCTCTTCGTGTACTAGAGTAAGATAACTACATAATCACATCAAAATATACCCCATGTAATCATCTGCTAATGAACATAAACTGTCTGATCAACACTTCTGTACACAGCTGTAGCCCCTCAGTGCACAAAGTGAGAATAAACATAATCATCTGTATGCACGACTGTAACCCCTCAGTGCATAATAGGTACCCTCACACATGGTCGTAGCCCCTCAGTGGATAAGAGTCACCTTTATACACGACCGTAGCCCCTCAGTGCATAATATAGAATTAACATAATCATCCTTATACACGGCTGTATCCCCTCAGTGTATAGGAGTCAAATATACGACTCTAGTACGCGGCCGTAGCCCCTCAGTGCACTAGAGTAAGATGACTACATCGGGTATTTTCTGATGGTTTCATAATAGTCATGCTTGATTACCAATTTCTCGAAAAAAAAACATTTCATGTAACTAATACGCTTCTCTAAAAATTGGGAATCATATCAACATTCATATCAAGTAAACATGATTATAATTTATAAATTAAAAATCTATATTATTAGAAAAGTAAGTTCTCCGCTTACATTCCAATTGACAATAATCTATACACGATCTTTGAATTCCACATGTATCATAGTGAAGTAACATCTCCATTTTAATCATGTAATTAAATAAATACTTCACATAATTGCACATAACATAAAAATGTAAGTACTTTATCAATAGTTGAAAATATATAAGTTATTCCACTCACAGATCTATAGATAACAGTTTGGTTATATAGACGAGTATTTCCAAGCTTTCACGCCACCTGAAATACGACATGAATAGTCAATATAATATCTAATGCTATAATACTTAAACTTTCTCAATACTTGACTAAATTTCCCAAATCATTCCTTTAATCAATTGGAGCTAATTGTACTTTCTAGTCCCTTTACTAATAACGAATTCATCAACATAATCTTTATCCCAAGCATAAGAATAATCATCCCATCTCAATTTAGTGAAAACTAGCAACCAATACAACCACCAATTTAATTTACATCTTATCCCATAAAATCATTATTTCAAGTAAGGGCCTCCATATGAGCCATGTTCAACTAATTCAACTTACATTGGCAGTTCTACTAATCAACGCACAATTACACATATATTTATCCAGCCAATTTGATATGTGCACCAGCTCTTTTCCATTCTCACAGCTTCTAATCTATATGGCTTATTCTCACCCCAACACCATTCAATTAACATAGTTTAGTTCATAATAATAAAACATCAAATTTACTTTCTATACTTCCAAGTAAGTATTCCATCATTACAATCATTTCCACCAATATCCTTGATTCAAGAATCCAAATAAAAATTCTAGGGTTTACCAAAAATAAAATTTCTTACCTTGAATCAAATGGAGACTAAAGAATCAATAATCTCGAGCTCCAATTTATTCTCATATCTCAAAAATCTGTAAATTTTACCACAAATTAAACCTTAGAAATTTAACACAATATACCTCTTCTCCTAAAGAAAATAACGAGAATAACAATGAAATTCGACTTTACCATACCCTTTCTCCTCTCCTCTTTTTCCTTTCCTTTCTTCTTCCTCTTCCCCTTTTTCCTTCTCTTTTTCCTCTCTCTTTCTCGGTTTCTCTCTTCGTGGCTTCTCTGTGCGTGTGAGTTGGTAATGAAAATGAGAAATGGATTGGAATAATCTAGATAATGGGCCTAATGCAAGAAAACCCCCCAACTTCCAATAATGCATAAGTAAGTCCCCAACTTAAATTCTAACCCATTTAAAACCCTCATATATTTCAATTAGATCCCTATTTGACCATTGACTTTGACATTCAACCCATGACTTTTGACTTATAGAATGAGGTGTAACAAACTTTGTTTTATGTATGAAAATCTTAGTTATCTTATGATATAAAGTATCTCTTTTTAAAGCAATTGGAATCAACTCTACCTTGATGATAATTGATCCCAATTTAGAGAAATGATGTCTGATTTTGTTTTCACTACCCACACAGTAGGTGGGTTTGGGGTGGGGCCGTGCCAAACCGTGGTGGAGGGGGCTGGGATAGGACACCTCGCCATGATGGTGGTGGATTGTTTGGGGATGGGGGTGTGGATGAAGATGAAATTGGAGAAAGAAGATGAATGAAGGGCGTGGGTGGGGCGGTATCAGGTGATTGAAAAAGGTGGTGATTTTTTTCTTTTATTTATTGTTTTTAAAGGCAAATTATTGTATGGACGGAAATGTCTCTCCTTAAAATGGTCAAAATATATCATTTTTAAAATTTTCAAATAGACTAACGGTGATTTGGACGGTTTCTCTCTAGCTGGACCTCCAGTGCGAATTTGTCAAATGTTTGGGACTTGTGATAGCACAAAATAAAGGTTGAAATAAAGTCTGCAAAAAACGAAAAGGTATGGGACCGTCGCTGCAATTTTTCCAAAAAATAATTCAACAAAATGATCAAATAAGAATGCGTAGTTTTGATATAAAAAAACTACTTGTGCAGACACAAGTTAGATGTGCCCCTTTACCAGGGTGAACACTTGCCTCAACTCTTTGCAGTCTAAGGAAGTAAGAGCATGGCCCTTGAATCTCAAATAATATCCTCTCACGGACGATGAAGAGCAAAGTCATGCAAATTAGTCTAACGAAGAAAGATGTTCGAACAAATAAAATTCTCTATTTTCTTTGTGTACAAATTGCTAATCAATTCGATCCTATATAAAAATAAAATTATATTTACAGTTTCAATTAGAATAATGTTATTTATGAACAACAAAGACAAGCACGCGTCTTAGTGGCAATGGGGTCCACTACCATTTAAACTCATGTTTATATTCATTATTTAATAAATAACATTATTCCTTCAATTATCCCACTTGTAATAATAAATCTCTTATTAAATACGAAGTAATGCTATTTAGTATTACTGATATTACAACACCTATTTAGGTGGTACTAAGTGTCATTAAATGAATCGTATAATTTCATATTTAATTGAATTTATCACATAATGCTCTAACATTACTCATGGTGCATAACATTATTCTTAAACATATTCTTGGCTTTAAACACAAATTAAAACCACAGTCCAATGCATTAAACCCTACGTCCACCAGATTTCATATCCAACGGTCGTGATTATAACCTGTATGGTTGCATTAACACTATAGATTAAATAGGGTTAAATATTTGGTCCCTAAAGTTGTAGCTAAAGTTCATTATAGTTAAAGTTTATGATATCCTATTAGTTATGGTCCCTAAAGGATACTACTAGCCACCAGTGACAGATCCAACCATGAGTTTGGACACGAGTTGCAATATAAATATAAATATACATAGATTTATCATTTATCTATAAAAAAAAACTAAGAACAAAGTGACATTGGAAAGGGCAGATACGGATTGTAGTTCGGTCGAGGGCCACTAAAGTTTCCTAATACTTCCATTATAATCACTTTTTTAATCAAATTAATGCATCGGTGCGCTGTGAACATCATAATGTACTAAATTTACATTAATTCAATTAATACAGTCTACAGAAGCTTTAATCAAGCTAAAAATAGGATGACAAAACTCTAGATATGACTACATATCAGGACTATAAATATACTGTCTAGTATATGTGTTTTGCACATAAGATGCTTTATGCAAGTTGTTATAATATAATTTGTGGATTACACAAGGGACTTTTTGTGATTAATATAGTGATGTCAAGATGGGAACTGCCTAGTCAGCACAGAAAAAGATCTCTTGACTCCTCACGGCCGGGACTATTCATCACGTTAAAAGATCATATTGAAATTAGTCGAACTCGATCTTAGTTCATGAATTATTTTGATATAATGAACGGTCGCACCAGTGCAGTTGGGAACAACTCTTTATTTTTAACTTCTAATGCAATTTTTTAATTCTTACGCTAAGTTACAAACATATTATTGAAACAAACTTTTCTTTTTGGCTAAATTTTACATTGTTTACATCTCAAAAAATGACGAATTGGACCAAATGCGCAATATCGATGCAAATTCCATCTTCAAATTTAAAAGATATTATGGACTAAGCTCGGGTCATACTTTAAAGATAGGCTAGTTTAGGCCATGAGATTGGATGCAAGTGGTTTTATTTGGGTCGACTCACCCATATTGATACCCCTATGTCATTGTACCATCGTATAAATTAATCTAGCACATGGAAGAATAATTGTCTTCTGCACACCTTCAAGACGGAGAATTTTGATCCCCAATCATTACAATTCAGGAGCCTTACATGGATTATTTTACTCATATCGTAAGTTTTCAAGCTTATGTTTTGTTGAAAGGATAATTTTATCCTTATCTGTAAATGAATTGAAATTTTTCATACAAAAATCATATCCTCCCCCCTCCCACAATTTTGTAATATTTTGGTTGTAAATTATTCCTTTTTTTTTTTTCAAGCACATTAAGTTCACTTATATTTCTTAGAAGAATACTAGTTGAGATTTTCTTTCCTTATTAAAATTTTTAAGTACAATGAGCTTTATGTTCAAGTATATCGTATTAAGAATTTATAACTCGAAGTAGCATTGGGATATACATTATTATTTTATCCCTATTCTGTTTAGACTTCATTAAAATGTATTTTTAAGAAAAAATTTGTTTTGAAATATCGGAGAATATGTGATTTAAAAAGAAAGAAAATTTTGAATTTATGTTTAATATTATTTTATTAAAGATTGTTTGATTAAAAAGAATAAATAAAAAATGCATTAAAATTAAAATGGAGCCCAAATAGCGGCATAATATACAACAAAAAGCATATCCATGGTTCATTATTCATGTATTTCTCCTCGTGGCATACTATGGCGATGGTGCCTTGTTAAGATGAAGATTTTTCATTTTTTAATGCTTTTTCTTTTCATTTTATTTATTTATAATCAAGGGCCAAATAGTATTTCTAGTAAAATTTTGGCTTGTTAGCTAAGGATCGGGGTAAAATTTTTCATTAGGGAGTTAAGTGTCACTCAAAATGAAAGATTGAGGACGTAAATGCTCCATTTGAAAGTTAAAGACCTATCATCGTTTGATCCTAATTTTTATTTTCCCGAAAATAAACTCGAGATTTATATTTACATCTTCAACTATACTACCATAAATTTCCCATTGAACATATCATTGGCTATAAAAAATTCATTTATTCTAAGTTAATAGGTACCTAAAAACCACAATCCAATACAATAAACTCTACACTACCAGAATTCAGATCATTCTCCCCTATATCTTACCATAACACCTACTGTATGATAGCATTCTCGCTAGTGACTTAAATAGTTCCTAAAGTTGTAGGGAAGTTTCGTGTTGTTCCAAATTACTCACTAAACTTTTGTAATATTCCAATATAGTAGCTCTATTAGTGCCAAATCCTATGCATGTCACTACAAATCAATTAGACTTTAATCACATTGCTACTCAAGCCTTAATCATCACTCTAAAATGGGATGACAAGATTAATAAATCCTCATTTTCTGCCTCTTTTACTTATTTATTATAGCATGTTTGAATCCTATATTTTGTTTAAAATACATTTTGATGAATAATGTGCGATAAAAAAATAATTTTTTTTTTTGAATTTATGTGTAATAATATTTTATTGAAAAAGAGATAGAAAAATGTATTCA